TACAAAGATTTTTCATTTTTCTTTTCTCTTTGTGGTGCTGGAGGTTGAATTTAGGGCCTTGCACATGCTAAACTGAACTACATCCCCAGCCCTTAAAGATTTCTTCATTTAACTGATATTTGACCCTTTTACTATGTGTCACTATACTAGATCCTATAGAGAACATAGAAGTGGAAGCTCTTGTCTCTTTCTGCTGTGAGATAAAGGGTAAAATAGGCACATTTAGACTGTAGCGGGCAAAGTCACAGGGGTTTGGGCTGTGCTTTGGAAGTGTGAGGAGAGGGATCCTGACCATAAGAGCAAGGGTGGGAGGACCAAGTATGTAACAGAACCAAGAGTGTGAGTCAGGGAATGGTAGTCAGATCCAAGGCCTGAAAACCAACAGAAAGCCGATGCTTTGTGGGATGAAAAGTGAACATAGGGCTTTTGCCTTCAGGTGCTTTGAGTCAGAGATGCCCCACAACTACTACTATTAGTGCCAAGCCATATTGAACCCAGAGGCAAATAAATCTTACAGATGTTGACAGCTCTAAGTTCAGCGAAGCATATGCTGGGCTATCAAACTAAGTGAATAGAAATTCCTGCTCATCTAAACCATGTGCCGCTGACTGCTCAGAGGCAAACAGAACCCTGGAGCCTCTGAGGCTGAAGAGCCCTGCAAACCAGTCTGGGTAGAACAGGCTAAGAGAGAGCCCAACCCAGGATCCTGTGCCCTAGGGAGATGCATTCTCTGGGTCAGGCACAGTCATACATCCTGAGTTAAGATGAAGATTCTTGTCTAAACTTGGACTAGCCACTTTCTTTCCTTTAGAGTCTAGAATAGTCTACATTTTCAAAAGACCTAAGCCCCGGAGAAGCCAAGCTTCAGCATCTGTTAATGACCTTGAATTTGGTCTTTTCTCACTTTCATTGGAGCTTAGAATTTCAAGGAAGAGCTTAGAATTTTCCCTAAGGCCACTGGGAACATTTAGGAAAGGCCTCAGAGTTTGGAGACTTGCCAGGTATACACAAGGGGTGGCAGCATTCCAGGACAGATAGAGAAAAAGCTGGGCAAGTAAAAAGGGATGAGTCACTTCACCCATCCCAGACTGTGAGCAGTAGAAAGTTGATCAGAAGAAGTCCACATAGTATATAATTCCAGTTATATGAATTTCAAGAAAGGAAAACTGAAACTGAATAGTAGTAATAAACGTCAAAATGTGGATTACTTTTGGGATGGGAATGGCCTGAGGGAGGGCTGTTGTGCACCGGCTGTCCTTGCTCCATTACTGGGATAGCAGTAGTGTAGGAGGTGTAAGAGCTAGCCCATAAAGCTGTATGCTGTGTTGTTGTAACTTATACTTCAGTTTTTAATAGGGTAAGCTGTGGACAGTGTGTTGGAGGAGACTGAGGGTTGGAACTGAATAGAGATGGAAAGAGCTGACGAGAAGGGCCTGGCCTGGCACAGTCCACAGGACTTTTGAAGAGGCCGTTCTAGCATACCTGCTCCGCAGGGGCTAATTTACTGATGTGCTTTGAAGTTTTACTTTTGTTATATTTTTATACGTATTACTATTTTTATAATCTGGCAGTTTTCTGACTTAAAAAACCTTGAGAACAATTTGAGTTATAAGTACTTGACTGCAAGAAAATTACTACCAAAGAGATGTATCGTGCTTTCAAATTGTTGTGATCATATATTTAATGATCTCTTGCCTGGAGCAGGAATTTGACATTTCCTGTGTGTTCCAAGGGAACAGAAACTTGGGAAGAAGCTCCAGGAATACAGATCGGTTTTTGTTTATTGGTTTATTTTTGTGTTCCTTGCACTTGTTAAGAAAGTACTTAACACTGAACTCCAGCCTATAATATAGATTTTGACCCAATCTGGAAAATGTCCAGGTGTTTTTCCTTGGGAACTTGGGGTCACATCCTCCATGCCACACTGTATGCTGAGGTCTGGGCTATAAGTTGGGGTGGGGACATAGATAAGACAGAGGGGCACTCTCAAGGGCTTCTTGTCTGGAGGTGACTGCCATGTGACTCAGTCCTTTAGTGCAATGGTGTCTATCAGTAATGGAAGGATGTTCAAGGAACTGCAGAGGAGCCTGTGGATTGTGACTCGGAATACAACCCAGGACTGTCCAGGGGACACCTGGACAGAAGTTGTAGAAAAATAGAGTATGTATACACGTGACCATAGTGTTGTAGGTGAGGTGTGGGATGGGGAGTAAAGGGACAGGTAGAGGGAGGTGTGTGCTGCTGTGTGTACTAGGATTGGGAGACGCTGCAAGATGGGTGGCAACCTCAGGGGAGGTTTAAGCATTAGGGAGGGGTAGATAGGGTGACCCAAAGGAGCCTGATGTCAGGGCCTAAGCAAGAATATGAATTGAGGAGCTGGGCTGGAGGTGGGCACAGGTAGAGATGTGGTAGAGTATGCCATTCAATCTAGAAGATCTCTCAGCCCTCTCAACCCCTGAAATACCACACACTTCTGTCTGTGTGTAAACAGAAGCAGTGTGGACATGGTGCTGAGCTCAAATTCTTGCTCTGCTGCTTACTTAGTGCACCACCTTGGATGGAGAAAAGCCCTAACCTTTCTGAGATGACATCTAAAAATGATAATGTGACTGCTCGGTGCCTGTGAACATCACTTGATCACTGTCATGGCTGCTTTAATGAGCCATCAAGTTTTTGGACCAACATGAGGAAAGACTGAGGAGGAGAGGGGCATAGCTGGAGCCAGTGAGGCCTGTTTTGTAGCCATTGGCAACGATTGCACTGCCTGGTATAAAGCAAGAGCAGTATGCTTTACAGGCCCTTTCCATTAGAAGGGTAGGGTCTTGGTGCTCCTCAGCTAAAGGCCCCTCTTGAATCAGTTAGAGGTCTTACCAGTAGGGCTGAAGCAAGAGGCTAGTTGAGCCATCACTACAGTGTCCTTCTGCATGTGTTCTGCCAGGCTGCTAGGTCTGTTATATTTGGAAGTGTGATTAAAGTCCTTATTAGCAGACTCCTCTATAGCGTTAGTTACTTTCAAATTGAGTTTGCTGACCCTCCATAGAGATGCCTTTTGAGGCCCCTGGAGGCCCTGAAGTCCAGAGGAAGGAGAGAGGCACTCTGCCCAGGCTGTGCCCTTATTTTAGGCTGAGTGAATGATGACAGGGAGAGGGCTTTTTCCCTTTAAGACAGCCCTGCAGTGCAGGAACAGGCACTTCGGCTGTTCTTTCTCCTTTTCCCCTTCATCCCTTCCTACTTCTGGCTTTTGATCACAAAATGACTCCTTTCAATTCTGTCATTTTACATATTTTTACTGATGCCATTTTTATCTCAGTGTTTTTTTACACTATTTTTAGGAGATTTAATATATACTTTAATACATTATAATCTAATATATAACAATATGTCATAATATATGCATTATTTTTACATTTGCATTTTACATTTACATCATTTACATTACCTGTGTAAGAGAAGATAACCATCTTAGCAAAGAATTGCATTTTCTATCATTTAGCATGTCCTTTTCATTTCGACTCAGTGATCTCCCCTGGTAGGAGAGCAGGTAGACTGAACTCTGTCCTAACACATTTCTCTTAGTAGTTGACCATCTTCCTTTCTTCCTTCCTTTTTTTTTCCTTTCATTTTTTTGGTGTAGATATTGAACCTGTGCTTCATATTTGCTAAGCATGTGTAGAACCTATGAACTGCACCTCACCCATTTTTTTTTTAAACAGAAAAGTATGCCTTTGGGTTCTTTCCTGAGATGATAGGTAATTTGCTGTCCAGAGCCTTCTTGGAGGACATTGTTGGGGTAGTCTGCTGTTCACTGCTCTACTAGCCCTTGGCTGAATATACTCTCTCCACCTTCCTGGACTGTCTTCCTAATGTGTTTCTTACCAGAGGATCAAATCCAGACTCCTAGACAGCAGTCCAACCCTCTCCGCTGGTGACTCACCTGTTTCTCCAGGTCTTCTCTCTGTACTGTACTTGCCTTGCTTCTTGTAGTCCTGTCCCCTGGCTCTTACATTTTGAGACTTAATTGTGAAATGTTTTCGGGCAAACGTCAGCTCACTAGGTCTTTGTCACTGGTATATCCCATATCATTTACCTGTGAGCTATTTGTCATTTCTCATGTGTCCCATGACACAAGATTAATAGCTGGGTGAAGTGTCATACTGCAAGACAATAGAAGAACTTGTGCAAGTCTAGAGTCTTCATGACTTCCTGTGAAACCCTGGGAAAGGCAATTTAGATTTTTCTGTGGAATAAAATACAGAACTTAGAATAGCTGTCTGGTCAGGTGCTGGTGGTTCACATGTGGAATCCTAGTTATTAAAGAGGATGAGATCTGAAGATCATGGTTCAAAGCCAGCCCAGGCAGGAAAGTCCATGGGACACTCTTATCTCCAATTTAGTACCAAAAAAAAGCTGGAAGTAGATCTGTGGTTTAAATGGTAGAGCACTAGCCTTAAGCAAAAAAATTTAAGGGACAGTGCCCAGGCCCTGAGTTCAAGTCCCAGGATTGGTACACACACCTAAAAATAATAGCTGTCTGAGGTTTCATTGAGTTCTAAAATGTCTTCAACATTTCTCCAGACGGACTATAATCTGTCATTTATAATACTGTTATTGTTACTGGGAAATGATTCTTTTAAAGAAAAGTGACAGAGGGTATATGTTGTTTCTGCACTTGTCATATTGTGCTGTCTTTGGTGTATACATTATTATTATCCATAATGACATGATGGAATTAAGTGTTACTGTGTGCTTGTTTAAAATTTGTATAATTGGGGGAGGAAAGGGACAGTGGGAGAACAACAAAGGAGGGAGTAACAATGCTCGACAAGAACTGTACTGATTACCTTACTCGTGTAACTGTAACCCTTCTGTACAGCATCTTTACAAAAAAGTAAAATTTATAAAAATCTGTATAAGTTCTAGAGTAAAAGTTGCATCTAGTATAGTTTTTTGTACGTGAAATGGAATGAGTATTTCTTCCTGAACTACTTCAGGTTATTTTTCCTGTGTGCGTGGCTCCAAATAGTAATATTACACATTTCTATTTCTGGAAGGAAATTTCTGGACATTCCATATGTGAGGTAAGATCTTAGCATCTCCAGGTGAAGAGATTGCTGTGCCTATTGTTTTTTTAATTTTCTGCTTTGATAATGTAATTTTTTTTCTCCTTTTCTTTCTTGTAGTCAGAAAATGGGTAAGAAGAGTCGAGTGAAAACTCAGAAGTCAGGCACCGGGGCTACAGCCACTGTGTCACCGAAAGAAATCTTGAACCTGACCAGTGAGCTGTTGCAGAGTAAGTGGCCCTCTGCTGTCCTGTCGCATGTGGTAACAGTGGCTTGCCTCTCCTTCCATGTCCAGTGCTGACTGCTGGCTTCCCTGGGACAGGAATGTATATCAGACCAGCTCATGTTTCACTCCTGGCTTAGTAGCCACATGACCTGGCAGTTGGAAAACTTCTCTAATTTGCAGTTCCATCTAGAAGGATGGAGAAACTGGTATCAAATGAAGAACTTCTGTGTTTTAGCCATGAAGTTGGTCCTCCAAGGGCACCCAGGAGCAGAAAAAAAAGCTCATTACCTTTTAGCAGTTTAGCATTGAGAAAGTATATAGAGGCTCAGTATTCTTATCAGCAAACACAGATCACTGCTTCTAGGAGTGTGACAGGGACCTCATGAACTTGGGCATGTGAAGATGTATCACAAGGCTCTCAGCCCCAGGCAAGCCCAGCATGCCTCCCAGGGAGCAACCCTGCCAAAACCGGGCACCTTTACTTTCAGCAATTATGTAATGGCATTTCGTTTTTCACATGCTCAAGTCTGAGGGTTCATGGTTCAAGGAAATGAAATACCTTAAGTGCCCGTTGTTGCTTTTGTAAGCTAGTATAACTTGATAACTTTTAAATTGTGAATTTAAATTGGTGTTACAGGTGCCTAAGATTTAACTCTGATCATTCCTTACATTTAGATGATGTGACAGTTAAACCTCAAATAAAAACTTAGCTTTACCTCCCTGACAGAAACAAAGCCACAGCGAAACCCGAGTCAGGTCCCTCTTCAAGGGTTCTCATGAGTCTTGCAGGCCCCTATGTGCCAGGCTATTACCTGTTCTCCTCACTAGCCTGAAGGCAGCTTTTGGCCAGGCTCCTATCTTCTTTACTGTTGTACTACCGGACCTCAGTCATTGCTTGGTGAGGAAAGAATGAAGTAAGACTAGTCAACCTTAATAGTTAGGAGTCATGTTAATTATTTGCCATATTCATATGTACTCTTCTCCTTAGTAGGTGGGGGTAAGGTCCAAGAAATCATTTGGTATGTGATGAGACAGACGTGGATGCTTCTCATCACTGCCCTTGGCCAGCTATCTGTATCAATGATTTGGTGTGACACTCTAATAACGTTACAAATATCTAAATGGATATTGACCCCATGAATGAAGCAGGGGCAGGCAGTAGGTTTGGCATGAGCATGGGAAAGGGGCCTCTTTCTTTAAACTGTTAGATTATGAAGGAAATGTTGCTGGTAGACAGGATGTCAGTGTGCACCCTTCCAACGTGACCAGCTCCAGGCAGGGGAATTGGTCTTGCAGGTCAGCTCCAACAGCAGAATCTTTTGTGAGTAGTACTTATGCCTCCTCTTTTATAACTTCCAGAGTAGTGCTTAATAGAATACTGTATGTATGAAATGTCAAATGATTGTCCTCTTGTCCTGCTTAATTGGCTTCCCTTAGGGAGTCACTCTTAATGGGGCTTAGCTAGAAAGGTAGGCTGACTTCTGCAAGCATTACCACTCCCCCCCACTCCCACCCCCACCCCCACCCCCACCCCCACCCCCACCCCTACCCCCTCCTCCTCTTCCTCCTTCTTCTTTGTATTTTTTTGGTGCTTATCCTTGGGCTGAACTTGGACTAGGTACTGCCTCTGAGCTTTTTTTCCTCCCTTTATTTCCATTTATTTTATGCTAAATTCATTCCATGTCAAGAGCTTTGTTTCTTCAGTTTCTTCTAGGATACCATTTTCTTCTTTGCAACCTCCTCTTCCAGTTTAGGAACAATTTGATCCTTTTCAGTATGTGGCCAGGGGAGCTCATGTATGGGTTAATCCAACCATGAGCTTTGTAAGTTCGGCAGCACATCTTGATTGCTTTGTTCACCTGGATGTGTTCAGTGACCAGAGAGTTTACATCTACACCCTGCAGTTCACCATTACTATCTGCATTCTTAAGCATGTGGAGCATAAATGCAGCACTCTTTGTAGGCCACTGACTCTTGTGTCCAGCCCCACTTTTTGCCTGGGCACACCTGCCAGCTCCACCATGTAATGCCAGAACAGTACATGTTGCTTCTTTAAAGAGACGTCTTTCAAGCCGGGCGCCTGTAATCCTAGCTACTTACGAGTCTGAGATCTGAGGATCGCGGTTCAAAACCAGCCAGGGCAGGAAAGTCTATGAGACTCTTATCTCCAATAAACCACTAGAAAACCGGAAGTGGTGCTGTGGCTCAAGCGGTAGAGCGCTTACCTTGAGCTGAAGAGCACAGGGATAGCGCCCAAGCCCAGAGTTCAAGCCCCACGACAGACAAAAAAAAAAAAAAAAAAAA